ACCGCCCAAATTATTACACGCCGGGGTCAGTCACCTGACCCGGCGTTAAAGGCACAGTGCCTCAATCACAGTGGGAGGTTTAGATATCTCCCACGTGTGATTGTTAATTCTGATTGGAAATTATCCAATCAGAATTAACCTTATGGTTTAAATACTTACCTTTCCTGTTCCTCCCTGCCCTGTTGTGGTCTTTGCTTACTAGTATTGCTACTTACCTTGTGTTTCTGGTTACGTACTCTCTGGCTTGTTTATCTGACTCTGTGACTTTCTCCTACCTTTTGACCTCGGCTTGTTTCACGTTATTCTGGTTCCCCTTACTCGGCTTGTCTCTTGACTATTCTGTGTGTGCTTAGCCCGGCCACTCTAAGGTCCGGTACTGCACCTTTTCTGTGTGTGTGTGTGTGTATGTGTATGTGTGTGTGTTAGCGTGTTGGGTTCCCGGAATCGTGACAGAAGCCACCTCTGATACCAGTCTGAAGTCCAGGAGATAAACGTAAAATCAGTACAGGCAAGAAAAAAAAGGTTTCCGCTTTTATTTCTTTTAAATCATCTATGAGATTACGGTCTCGTGGAATTGGAATGTAGAGTTAATGTATAGCTTCAGCATGTTCCAAGTGTAAAGCCTTTTTCAATCATATATCCTGTCCTAACGTGTCTTATACCCAACCTCCTATAAACTGTAAGCTCGTTTGAGCAGGGTCCTCTTCAACCTATCGTTCCTGCAAGTTTTCATGTAATTGTCCTATTTATAGTTACATCCCCTCTCATAATATCGTAAAGCGCTACGGAATCTGTATATAATGGCAATAATAATTTACTAGCAGCGATATTTCACAGGCATCATCAATGAATCAATTTAGAGGTTTAGTGGCAAGACTGGAGCCAGTTTCTAAGTCCATTTCATGGTTGATAATGGGAGCTGTAACTGGCAGCTTGTGGCTCCCTGTCTATACTTGTGTTAAACAGCTATACCAGGTATTTTAGCAGGAAGTAGCAGGAATCTGATGACTGATATGGAGATCCGATGTCCTATAGCCGGCAGCAACAGGCGTAAATGTTGTGTAAACACAATTCTCGCTGCTAGGTTTCTCTATGGCAGCTTGACAACCTGCTCCTGGAATATACCGAGCCACCGTAACTGATAAGATAAAGACACCAATAAATGGGAGGATTGCTTATCTTTTACCTAGAACTAAAAAATAAAATAGATTTTATCACGGTTTCTGATTCGTTTGTGATGAAAAAAAATCCATTGTTTTATATTTTGAGATTTAGTAAAATCTTTATATTAAGGGACACAGAGTTTCATATTATGTCTATCACTTTCATTTACTCCCAATAGCAGTAAAGATAAAAAAACAAAAACAATCCAATACATCAAAACCATAATTTGGAATGCACAGGTTTCACTCCCTCCAACCAATCAGCTCTCAGCATAGACTATAAATAACAGCAACCCAACCAATCATCTCTCAGCATAGACTATAAATAACAGCAATCCAACCAATCATCTCTCAACACAGACTGTAAATAACAGCAATCCAACCAATCAGCTCTCAGCACAGACTATAAATAACATCGATCCAACCAATCAGCTCTTAGCATGGACTATAAATAACAGCAATCCAACCAATCATCTCTCAGCACAGACTATAAATAACAGCAACCCAACCAATCATCTCTCAACACAGACTGTAAATAACAGCAATCCAACCAATCATCTCTCAGCACAGACTATAAATAACAGCGATCCAACCAATCATCTCTTAGCATAGACTATAAATAACAGCGATTCGACCAATCATTTCTCATCATAGAATATAAATAACATCGATCCAACCAATCAGCTCTTAGCATGGACTATAAATAACAGCAATCCAACCAATCAGCTCTCAGCACAGACTATAAATAACAGCGATCCAACCAATCATCTCTTAGCATAGACTATAAATAACAGCGATTCGACCAATCATTTCTCATCATAGAATATAAATAACATCGATCCAACCAATCAGCTCTTAGCATGGACTATAAATAACAGCAATCCAACCAATCAGCTCTCAGCACAGACTATAAATAACAGCGATCCAACCAATCATCTCTTAGCATAGACTATAAATAACAGCGATTCGACCAATCATTTCTCATCATAGAATATAAATAACATCGATCCAACCAATCAGCTCTTAGCATGGACTATAAATAACAGCAATCCAACCAATCATCTCTCAGCACAGACTATAAATAACAGCGATCCAACCAATCATCTCGCAGCATAGACCAGTGGCGTACTAAGGGGGGGGGCGGAGTGGGCAGTCCGCCACGGGGCCGTCAGGGTGGGGGGTGCCTTGGGAGGGGGTGCCGCCAGGAGCACCGGCCCCCCTCATGCTGCAGCCGCCAGAGCGTTCTGTAGAGACTTAGCACTTTGCTATTTCCAAACCATTTTTTTTTCAAAATGAACGCAAGTTACATTGTAACACTGATATCTGTCAGGAATCCCTGAATAACCCTTCACATGTGTATATTTTTTAAAAGAAGACAGCCTAAGGTATTAAACGTGGGGTATTTTGACTCTTTTCATGCAACTGTTATACCACCAACCTATGCCAAATTATATTAAAAAATAAATAAAAAATGGTCATTTTGTTGACAGACATAGCAATTTAAGAATACATGTACGGATAACTTTAAGGGTTACTGTAGCGGAGAGCTGGTCTCTTACAGACTATCTCCGCTGGTAATCCAAATAAGGCTCAGGAACAAGTAATAAAACCCAAGAGAATAATATCCACGATTAGTACAGTAATCCAAAAGTATCCCACACGTTTCACGTTTCACTGGACAACACACAGCATTAGGAACAGAACTGAACTGAGGTTTAATTTCACATGCCTGTTTTTAAGCAATTCACCCATGCAAGGGAGACACCCACAGTAATTAATACAGTAACCAATAAAATACATGTTACCTCCCACACATCTCCTCCCCTCAGCATGACATATAATCCACTTAATCCGTGTACAGTATTTCCCCAGTTCCTGGATGTACCCCAAATACATGGGGTACACTCCTAAATAGATCCCCTGATAGCCCTGATATGGGTGAGTAACATACCCAAAAATCACACAGATCGGACCAGGGGTTCGGGAGTTATGGAAGAGTAAAGTTTTGACCGACCACACAGGTAACAGTAGCCGAAAATAGTTCCATAAGTTTTGGCCTTGTCGTCGGTCTTCGTTAGTGGGTATAAACAGATGAAAATACCGAATGAAATGGCTGTTGCTTGCCTTCATGTGAATCCCCTTGCTCGGATGAGTCTTTCAAAGCTATGGAAGTCTGGAGGTCTCAACGATGTTTGCTTAGTCAAGTGTCCGATTTGGGTTCCAGACACTCGATGACCAAACACTGCTGTTCGTATCCCGAATCTCTTGAGTACAGTGATACTCCCCATGTATAGGTGTGTCGGGTTCCCTGGGGACTAAAAGACCTTATTTGGAGAGTGTACATTCCAGTTTTCCAACTTGGAATTGTAACGGCACCCCCAGGCAGGTTAAACCGCCATTTAGAAGATCTTCCCCTTCCAGAGACACAGGCAGCTACTGTAGACACCACTCCATCGAACCAGAGAAGCATATGAATGCTCTCAAACATACAAATACTGTAAACAGCCGAATAGGAAAAACCATACGAATAGGTTTACACTCCTAGCAGTTGAACTGGAACAGCATACAATAAATCCCCCCCAAGAACGAGACAAGGCTCCGTTTTGGGGGTCAAGCAGGAACAGACAGAGCTGTGGGTTTATTGTCCTTATATACACATTAGTACCACCCACAGGGTTTTGGAAAACAACCAATAAACACATACAATACACTCAGACACTCCCACACAAAATCCTCCCCTCTGCCTGTGATACAATTACCTTACACAATGGGTAATGTAATTATTACAGGCAGAGAAATACAGTAGAACGGTTCTGGTGTACCTAATGTACCACACAGGAGAGAGGGAGACATACTAGCACTAAGCTGCTCGAAAACTGGTAATGATAGGGATTCACTAAAAACCTATATAGAACAAGGGAAAAGAACTCTCTAGAAGAGTGGGAATACCAGGAGCTGGCTAGGTGACATGCATCTGATCCCGTGTGTTGCTGGAATGCCTGTCTTACGCGTTTCGTAGGGAATGGGCCCTACTTCATCAGAGACAAGTAGGGCCCATTCCCATTCCCTACTACGAAACGTGTAAGACAGGCATTCCAGCAACACACGGGATCAGACGCATATACCAGCAGCACCACTAATCTCCACACGCAGGACCTGTTTGGAAAGTACTGCCACCGGAGGCATCTGTCCTGCACGTCCCCTGAAGTGAGGCTCCTGCTCGGGACGTGCTCACAGACACAAGCCATCCTCACCGGCAGCTGTATATTGAATCATCACAATCCGTATCCATCCTTAACAATCCCAAGGTCCTTGCTGTTATTTCTCAATGCATCAGTCTGGTAATGCATTTCTGAATCTAGTGTGACCTGTATTTTTATATTTAACTTTTTCCAAAGTTATTTTAATATATTCAATAAACTGCCATTTTTTTCTTATATGAAGTGATCCAGTTTTATGCTTCAGTTTTCCAGCGATATATTGTTTTCATTTTTATTGCCTAAAGCTAACAGTTCCTTGTACTGTATAGCTTATTATTTTACTTCTATCTTTTACGAAGTATATTATTTGCAACAGGTATCATTTATCCCTCATGTTGTTTGGGATATAGACACCAGTTTCATACATATTTTTTGGTCATCCAGCAGAGAATTTGGTCTCTCATCTTTCCCCTTTTTGTGTGTATATATATATATATATATACACACACACACACACACACACACACATACACACACACATACATATATATACACATACAGTGGCGTACACATGACCCATAAATCTTCGTGCTTAAATTGATCCGTGCCCCGCTACAATGGCCGCTAACACATGGCGGAAAATCTGGTCTAGGTTACCGGGTTGGCACCCCATGCATCACGGGTATAAACGCCAGCATGATGCACACACACTTAAAGGATCACTCTAGGCACCCAGACCACTTCAGCTTAATGAAGTGGTCTGGGTGCCAGGTCCAGCTAGGGTTAACCCATTTTTTCATAAACATAGCAGTTTCAGAGAAACTGCTATGTTTATGAATGGGTTAAGCCTTCCCCCATTTCCCTCTAGCGGCTGTCTCATTGACAGCCACTAGAGGCGCTTGCGTGCTTCTCACTGTGATTTTCACAGTGAGAGCACGCCAGTGTCCATAGGAAAGCATTATGAATGCTTTCCTATGTGACCGGCTGAATGCGCGCGCAGCTCTTGCCGCGCGTGTGCATACAGCCGACGGGGAGGAGAAGAGGAGGATCGAAGGAGGAGAGCTCTCCGCCCAGCGGTGGAAAAAGGTAAGTTTTACCCCTTTCCAGAGCCGGGCGGGAGGGGGTCCCTGAGGGTGGGGGCACCCTCAGGGCACTATAGTGCCAGGAAAACGAAAACTACAGACACCCAGATCACATCAGCTCAATGAAGTTGTCTGGGTGTCAGGTCCCTCTAGTTTTAACCCTGCAGCTGAAAACATAGCAGTTTCAGAGAAACTGCTATGTTTCACTGAGGGTTAATCCAGCCTCTAGTGGCTGTCTCACTGACAGCCGCTAGAGGAGCACACTGAGCGTCCATAGGAAAGCATTGAGTAATGCTTTCCTATGGGCGGTTTGAATGCGTGCGCGGTCGCATTCGGAGCTGAGAGGCTGAGGGATCCTCAGCACCAAGGGAGTCCGACGCTGGAGAAAGGTAAGTGCTGAAGACACACACACTCTCACTTAGAGACGCATACACACTAGCTAACAGACACACACATTTACTGACAGAGATACAGTCAGCGACAGACATACATACACACTCACTTACAAAACATACACTCTCATTGACACACACACTCACTAACAGACATCAAACAGACTCACTAAGACACACACACTCAGTAAGACACACACAGTAACACACTCACTGACACTCACTAGCAGACACACACACTAACACACTAACACTCACACTAACACTCACTAGCAGACACACACTCACACACACTAACACTCACACTAACACACACACACATACTAACACTCACACACACTAACACACACACACACTAACACACACACTAACACTAACACACACACTAACACTCACACTAACATTCACACACACACTAACACTCACTCTAACACTCACACTAACACTCACACACACACACACACTAACACTCACACATGATTTTTTTTTTTTTAATTTAATCCCCCCAGCCTCCTTACCTTTTGGAGTGCTGGGGGGATTCCCTGGGGTCCAGTGGTGCTGCTGGGCTCCTGGGCGGGTGGCCGGTCGGGCAGGCAGGCGGGCGCGCAAGGGAGCACTCATTGCTTCCTCTTCAGCTCCCTTGCGCGCCGCGTAGGGATGCCGGCGCCGGAAGATGACGTCATCTTCCGGCTCCGGTATAAGTGCGGTGCGCGAGGGAGCTGAAGAGGAAGCACTGAGTGCTCCCTCGCGCGCCCGCCTGCCTGCCCGACCAGCCACCCGGGGTCAGCAGGGCCAGCCTCAGGGGGGCCCTGGGGTGGTCGGCTCCTGGGCCCCCCAGGGGAAGAGGCTGGCCCTGGGCGTACATACCGGGTCGCCGGGGCGGCCGGGCCCCCTGGTGGGCCGGGCCCGGTCGCAGTCGCGACCCCTGCGACCCTGGT